AAAATACAGAGAAGGAGTTTCCCTTTCCCCATTTTTGTGACATCGTCAGTAATGAACAAGACACATCTTTATGTTTATCTGGGTACCATTTATTGGATATAATATTCTTAACAATGGCTTTCTCTACAGAAACAGGTGGTTACCTGTAGAACCCCAATATGAGAAATGTGTACAAAAGCAACAGACTGTAACGTAAAAGGAATGTGAAAAAAAAACAACTTAGCAAATGGAAGCTTTATAAATGGACAAAGCACGATGAACTTAAGGAACCGGTCTGTTTCGTAGCTGTAAGTGTTCTGTGCTAAGTGGCTTGCAGCCAAGCGTTCAGATGATTTACTTAACAGTTGCCGTACACGCTCAAACCATGGGTCTTCCCCACAACCTCCCAACTCGACCTGAGAGAAGGCAAAACAGACCAATTAGCTCTGCCCTTCCTCGTCCTGCCTTGGACTCTTAGAGGATTTTCTGTCTTTCCAATTTGATACTTTTTTTCTTATCAGTGTTTGCTTATAGACCACGGACGTACATGTCATTCTACTTCTTTGTGAAACTAAAAAGATCACAAGCTATTTACCATTTTGTCTGGATTTAAACTGCACTTAAATTGAGGACTGAATATATTATTTTCTGGAAGGAGACTCCTGGGGGGAGCATAAGACATGTCTTTTGTAGATGATGTGGAAAATCAGGATGGGTTCCAGAATATTCAACCTGGAAGAGCGGAATCCCGCTGAGAATCCCTTTCACTGTGTGGTAAATCTCTGGGCTATCGCTACCCATTATTGAGTGTTGTAACAATTTCATATGCAGTGTTTTGTCTCCTAGTTTTTCTCCTATAAAACAGGCTCTCAGGGCCGGACTTGCCAGCTGCCACTGCTGTCCCAGGAGCAGAGAGGGGATTTCCATCCGCGTGCAGGTAGATACAAATGGCTTCTAGCAGCATCCTCACTGCACAGAAACGGATCTTAGCCTGGGGCTCACTGATCTTTCTTAGTGTGTCACTTGTATCGTTATCGGAGTTTCCAAAAAGGTCTTAAGGGAATAGATGTGAACAGGAACTGTAGAGTGAGTCAAGGGAATTGTGCCATCGCGGGTAAATTGTGCCATCGTGGGTAAACTGATCTTCTAGGGTGGGGGATGTGCCTGTGCAAGGGATGATGCTGGATTCGAAGCTGGGGCACTGCTGGTGGGCTTCCTGCAAGCCGCCACTCTGGATGAGAGTGGGCTTTGGGCGTCCAGCGGCTGGGCTGGGGGGAGGGTAGCGACACGCCGCCACAGCCCACACCCACTTGGGTTGATCTACAGTAGCCCTGAAGGCAGAGGCTTGTCACATGGCAGGGACATCGGCACTGGGTTTGCTGTGGAAAAGCAACTGGGCTCTGGGTGATAAGACGCAAACAGATGTATTAGCCTCTGCTGTGTCCAGATGTGTATACGGGCCTATTCCTGAGTCGTGGTGGGGGGACGGGTGACTGTAGCAGCCTGGGGCAGCCTCTGTGGTGGTGGGGAGGGGAAAAGATGGCAGCTGCAGTGTCGCCCACCAGCCAGCCATAGTGTATGAAGTCAGACCTAGGGATCAGCATGGCACCGTGAGACTCCTGGAGAGGGCTGGTGCCCTGTTTATGTGGGTCACTTGTGGCTACCCGGGGTCCTACTGACAGCAGGGAGAGAGGGTTCCAGAGCGAGTCTGCCCTGGGCCTGCTGCTTCCAGAACACCGAAGGGAACCCTCCCTTGCAGAAGTTTTCAATGGAATCAGCCTCATGAGGAAAGCCCGCCCAGGGGTCAGATTGCGTGAGAAAGATCTAGTCCAGCGGCCCAGGCATCTTGCCCTTTTAGTTATTAGGGTTGCATTGGCTCAGAATGCTTAGTAAACATCAACTGAGATGGCAGGAAGGCGCTCGGGCATTCTAGCCTGCCCAGCACCAGGCTCTCTGCAGCACCAGGGAGAGCACAGCTTGACACGGATCAGAGTTTTTGCTGTTTTTCTTTGAGGGGATGCAGTGATGGCGTTGTACTGATTTGCCAGAGAACAATGGCCTGTGGTTTCAGCCTGAGAATTCATAATAAAGTTAAGAAGGCATAAAAATGTCCCCTCTGAGACCAGTCAGGAGTATTTATGCTCATGTAGTTTAATTTGTTGCTTTTGTGGTTTCTGTGATGTCATCCCACATATGTAAGCTGGAAAATTCACACTGGGAAGTGTAACCTCTGTATGCATATTTGGACAATGGAAAATGTTATGCATTGTTTCTCTTGGTTGCTACACATCTGATTCCATGTGTCAGGGAAACAAACTGTTACCAAAAAATTCAGGAGATAAACTTTTAAAGAGAATGCCTGGAAGATTAGCCCTATACTTTCCGGTAAGTGGGGTCATGTAAGCTACAATGATAACAAGACAGGGCAAGGAAAGTGACAACCCTCAGAGCCTGCTTTGGGCCTAGGCACGTTAAATTTCTCAGCGATGGCCTTATAAACTCAAATCAACCCTTATTCATGCCTATAAAACATTTAAAATATTAAAAATAGACTGCCATGGAAATAAAAGCATTGATTTTTTTGTTTCGATCATCTATAAGGATATAAAAAGGGAGAGGTACACCTCCCCACTGCTTTCCCCCACCCCCTTAAAAAAAATCCCTGGCTGTGGTTCTTTTCTTTAGTTGTATTAAAATGGAACGTATGCTAAAACGCTTCAGTTGATAGATTCTGTATCTTGGAAGTATTGTTCCTTTAATACCTATATTTGTCAAGGGATGTTAGGTTTAAACACGTTCGCACTCAATAATAACTCGCACGGCTCTATGAACGCAATTTGGGCTGTAGAGCGAGGACTGTGTCAGCTGCCGCCCGTAAATGACCACTGATGACATGTGTCATCGGAAGGTCACAGAGTTACCCTTTTTTAATACCAATCTATTCCTGGTTGTCTGAAATGGAAGCACAGGAATTCTAGCTAAGGACAGACAAAAAAAAAAAGACAAAATTCACATCTTCTTCCTGATAATAGGAGGAGGGGCAGAACGACAGATCTAAGAATCCGGGCATCTGTAAAGACAATACCCACTTAACGCACCATGAAAATTCTGTAAACTTTTCAACAGCATGTGTTTTGGCCTTGATACAGTTACCAAATGTACTATCAATTACAGTAATTCCGTAGATATTCATCAGCAGTAATACTTTCTAATATGGCTTTGCCTTTTTAAGAAAAGAATAATTGTATGACACACAGACACACTGTGTGTGTGTTGGAATGTATCAGATCTGGGCTCCCTTTTGTGTGTTTGTGACACGGATTTATTTAGTTTATCCGTGATCATGAGTACTATGTTGCCTGGATACAGTGGGGAACAAGGGGCGAGTTAAATGCAGTCTTGTTTTCCGGAAGGCAAGCTGATTCTTGGTATATTCCTGGTCTCTGTGCTTCAAGGCCCAGGCAAACTGCTGAAATGACCCCAGCTGAAGTCTTTACCATAAACCACTCGGAGTGAATTACAGAACTGTGGTCAACTGCTTTCGAGTGTGAAAAGGAGTCACATAGGACCCGACTACAACACAGAGGCATAATGGCATTTTACCTTGTCTGAGGATTTTTGTAATTTTCGTGCCATTAGTACAGGCAGGTTCAAGATCTCTTTGTGAAAACGTCTCCCCAGTCAGACATTTGAAGAGTAAAAGGTTGAAGGAGCCGCTGCCCAAGACCACATTTCATGAATATTTAGGATTAAGAATCGATTTCCTTATCACATTCTGTGATGCTCAACAGGTAGGTTGCGAGCATTAAAAAAAAAAAAAAATTCAGACATGCTGAAAACCTCTTTTAGAGAGTCCCGCAGCCAAGCTGGGAACACAGAATACCCCCGAAATAACTGACAAGTAACTTAACCAGGTGGTAGACACAGCCTGCCACATGGCGTTCTGTTTGGTTGTAGTTTTTGTGGGCATAGGGAGTCTGCCTAATTTTCAATAAGCTGAATTTTGCAAGAAGAGATTTTTATCTACAATGTTGATTCACTAGGTCTGGTTACTGGTTCACATCTGAAAATAGTTATGGTCCCATGGAAAGCCTCATCTATCTGTCCGAACACAGAATCATTGTATTACAGTTGAGAAGATAAGGTGGTAATTTGCTTAGCTCCAAGCAGTACGGGGGGCTGGAGGCTTGCCGTGCCTGGGCGCAGCCCACTTGCACTAACCCCCCTTCCCCATCTAAACAAGGTGCCGAGGCCACAGCATCATGGGAAGGGCAATGTTTCTGTAAAGCAATGGTCTTTGCTCTCCAAATGTGCTCAAGGCCTGTGAGCTCAAGGTCAAGTTTCTGCCTGGCCTTGTGTTCCAGTCTGTGCCCTGGCTCAGGTTCTCTCCAGACCTTCCCAGCCAGAAGCCAGGGCCTCCCCTTCGATCCTGGACCTTCAAGGTGTGGCTGCTGGTGGGCTGAGGCCCAGGGGCTCCCTGAAAGCCCAGCCCAGCCTGGACGTGAAGCCCCTGGCCCTGGGCTGAGATCATTGGGGGTTCCAGAGAATCACTCATGGTTCTGCCTGGGGGCTCCTGAGCTGGGTCTGTGCCATGACCACAGCCATGGAGAGATTGTTGGAGAACCATTCTGCCAATAAAGCCTAGATCAAAAAGACAACCTCCTGTCCAGAATCCCACGCAGCATGAGATTTCAAGTTCACTGAACTACTGAAAGCGCACAAGGCTTCCTTCCATGGAAAACTCAGTGATGGTTTAAAAAAAAAAAAATGCCTCCCACAGCGCACTGCACTGGAGCCAGCATTGGGCATAAATTAATAATTTACAAGTTCCTGAGCAAGTGTACAGAGCACCATAGCACAGCACAGCACCGACGGCAGTAGCTCGAGTTCAGAGAATACGGGTGTTTTAAACATTTTTAAAAAAATTCTAAAAGTTGGTACAAAAAAACGAACTCCAACTGGAGTCGAACGATAGTGCAAACATCTGTCTTCGCTGTCGAGAAAAGGTGTCGACTTGCTTCTCACTTCGTGTAGGCGGTGTGGGGGGGCCTGGGTGCTTGGTGGGGGTGCTTGGGAGCCGGTCTGTGGCAAGAGAAAAGAAAACGAGATCGTAGGCGGAGCCCCCCGAAGGCGGCTTGCAGGTCCAGGAGCTCTTCTCCTGCCCTCTGCCGAGCCTTGGGAATCAGACTCCACCCCGGTGCTGAGGGCTTGGTGCTGAGGGCTTGGGATGGCCCTGGCGGGTGGCAGGCTTGCGGGGCCCCTGGAGGAGCCCTCACCGGAGCGCCACCTCCTCCCCGCAAGGTGACTCCAGAACTGTGCCCCTGCCTAGAAAAACTGGGAGTCACGGAGGTCATGGAACCTTCTCTACGAGCCACATGAGAAAAAGCAAAACCTAGGTGAGACCAATTTTTGTGATGCATTTCACAGAACTCTCCATCGTGGCCGTACGTATCAGTACGGATGTCTCCATGGGAACAGTCCCTGAGCTACTAGGCATCTGGGACCCTGAGTGGTCCCCATCCCACGTGCGTCTACACTGATGGTGTGTCGTTCCTCCACAGCGCGCCTGCAGTGACCTGGTGAGCCCATGCACGTCTGGGGAGCAGAGCCGGGCATGTGGGAGCCCTCGGAAACGAGTTCTTCTTCTTCGAGGGCAAGACCAACACCAGCTTGTGCCGGTGTCAGCGGTCGGCATAGGCGACGACCGGCCATGGCCTGGTGGCATTTAAAAAGAGAGCCTTCCCCTAATCGTGTCCACGTAAAGCGGTGCTTTTTCTTTTGAACTAGAAAAGTAACTTTAAGACTGGCATACGAACCACAGAGAAATAATTAGCATGCTCTACAGTCTTTCTGTATTTCCACAGTTGGGACTGAAACCACAGCTCTGCCCCCTTGACCGGCATTATCTCTGGGATTTATGAGGCTGCTTGTGCTCTCACAGGCTGAACATTTTTCCCAAAAGCTGTAATGACATCACGAACGTGTTTTCTGCATTGGAGATGCTGAATTATTGAGCCCAGGGCCTGGCTAACACCCTACCTTTGGTTCCTCGGAGCTCCTACAGCAAGCTTCCTGCCAAGGGGGTATGCGTGTCAGAAGGGTGTTTTGGCTGCGGGTGTAACCCTACCCGTGGCGGGGAGGGAGGGGGGCCAACCTGTAGCCTTTGTCTGTTTCCAGGGTATAAATCCTCTGGCTGCGTGAGCAGGGAGGGGCTGCCTGCTGGCCCCCTTCCCTGGCATTTGCACCATAACGGAAATAGCTGCTTGTAACCTCTAGAACAGGTAACAGTAAAAGGTCAAAAAAAAAAAAGAGTTTTGAGTCTTTTATGTTTTTCACGTAACTTGTCTCATTAGGAGTTTATATAATAGTGGCTCAGTTTGACACCCAGCTGGCAAAATTCCTGGAAATGGGATAGCTCTTGAAAACCAGTGTGGGCCAGTCCCGGGTGGTGAACCTCCCTGGGTCCTTTGTCCTCTGGGACAGGGTAAGCGATGACCGTGGCTGGGCGACGGTCGTGAAAGGGGATTCTTTTTGTTAGTTGGATGGAGAAGCTCCCCGTTGTCCCAGGTGTGCAGGAGCTAACCCCTCACCTCACCTCTCTCATTCAGCTGTGACCACCACCCCCCAAACTCACCTCCTTTCTGGGGACCCCAGGGATGGGGCCAAGTTTATGAAGGTTTCCAGTGGTTTTGGGGGTACGATCCACCTTCACGGGATCACACCACTTGGGAGCTGTTCATCTTCACCATGTAGGGGGACAGGGCCTGGCTCACCTCACGAGCCACAGGTTTCCCAAGCTCACGATCTAGTGCTACTTGATCTTGGTTTCTCTCAGGGACACTGGGGTGCTTAGCAAGAGCCACTGCGCGACCCTGGGGGTTACAGGCTTGTGAGTGCCTCATGCTAATGTTCCTGTCAGCTTGGGCAACCCTCATGCTGTTCCCAGGTACTGGGGGACAGGAAGCCCGGCCTTAGACTATCGGCCCCCGTCCTGATGGGGCTGGGAAAGCACGGGTCAGTGTGGCTGCCGCACATGGTTCTGGGGAGAAAGGGAGGGGCTGTTACACTGACCTGAGGGGCACCAGGCGGAGCCCAGCCTCCTGCTGCCCTGGGGCCCTGGCTGAGGCACTGGCGAGCCGGCTGGTCCTGCTCAAAGGATCTGCAGGCAGAGGCTTCTGAGGAGGGTTTGGCTTGCGAGGTCCCTGCAACAAACCACAAGACCGTGCGATCACCCGTGTCTGTGAGCTGTGACCAGGCCCTCACCTCAGGGGCCGCCGGAGTCCCCTGCAACATGGCCGGAACCAGAGACTGGGGTCAGGGGCCGGGCTACACAGGTTGCACGTCTGGAGTAAACTTGCTGAACGTGTCCTCTCACCATACAAGCTGTTGACCTTTGTTCATCTTCTCGCCAACAATTCTTCTAATATTTAAAAGATGTTTCAATAGCCTCGCCTCGTTACAAAGGAGGGGCTCCAGAGGCCACCCTGGTCCCAGGCCTTGGGTGACAGTGCACACTGGCGTTTGGGGCCAGTGCTACCCGGAGGAGGTGAGCTTTCCTGTGCCTGCAAGCTTCCTTTCAATTTGTAAAGACCTAAAACTGAGAGGTTGGTAAAAATCTTAATTTTCCAGAACCGTGTAACAATTCATCCAGCCGCGAATGAATGTGCCAACACAAGTGATCATCTTCCCTCCACCATCGTGGTGTCCCTCTACTCTATGACAATCCAGACTGCTGAGTGAAACGCACTGAAATCCTTCTACCAAAATACTTAATTCAAAGAATCACAAACACAGAACATGACAACGAGGAGGAAAACCTAAGAACGTGTTTTGAGGGACAGGCATAACTCTCTAAGGAAGCTAATGGAAATGTCATATTGAGCAGAGCATGAACTTGGGAGTGACACTCTGAAGACCACGCTTTGGGACTGTGCCGGTCACTTAATATGTCTAAACCTCAATTTCTTCCTCTGTAAAATGGGAGACAAAAGCACCTATCTGAAAGCATTGTTACACAGACTACATAAAATGATGCGTGGGGGTGGGGGATGGACACCTTGGGGATTGAGGTGTCAGTCGGCGAAGCATCTGCCTTTGGCTTAGGTCACAATCCCGGGGTCCTGGGATCGAGCCCAACATCAGGCTCCCTGCTCAGTGGGGAGTCCGCTTTTCCCTCTCCCTCTGCCTCTCTCCCTGTTCTCTCTCTCTCTCAAATAAATAAAATCTTAAAAAAAAAAAAAGCTTAGGAAGCCCCCAGAATATAGATAATTATTAATACCGTCAGCATTCCCTCATGCCACAAATTTTAAAATGCTTAATGGAAATATGAGAAAAGCAACACACAGAATATAGTAAAACCACAAGTCACTTGTTTTCAGGGACCCCTTCCCCTGGCTACCCTGAGAAGAGGGGGTACGGGGGGGACCCGGGGTGGGAGGTCAGTTAAGTGTTGACCATGTTCTCCTCTCGGCCCACGGTGAACACAGGTGCCAAGACACCTTCTCCTCTGGTCTTTGGAGCCTAGAAGCACTCGCAAATGCATGGCAAGTCTGTAGGAAATGGTGTTAGAACCTCAAGGGACACAGGATGTCCTAATAAGCAGATGACCTACTTCCCTGGCATAGGCTCACTATTCCATACTTCCAAGACCACTTAAGAGGATTTTGAAACACTTGACTTGAATTTCTCACAGTACTTACCCCACTAAAATTACATTTCCTCCGCAAATGGGGCTCAGTTGAAAGAATGCAAATGTGTATAATCACCATTGAGCATATCTTTGTGAGCAGAGGAAGCAAGTCTGGAAACCACAACTGTATGGAAAGTATGCCAAGTTGAAACAGTGAGCAACGGGCCACTGACCAAGGGATAGACTTCAAAGAGGCATTTCTATACCACTTCTTATTAAAGGAAACAAAATAGAGCAAATGCCTTAAGTAGGCAGATAGACTATCTAACATGCCTACGAGGCTGCACACCGAGCATGGGCTGTTTAGAGAGTCAGCCAGGCTCTGCAAACACAGGGGTTATTTAGACTCTAAGTTATAGAGAGGGGGTGCTAACAGGACCTTCCTCAGGAGGTTGATGTGAGGACAGAACCATTACCTGGAAAGCTCTCCACACAGGTCCCAGTACACAGTGTCCAATGAGTTATGGGTAAGCTGTCTCACAGCTATTAGGAGCAAATTTACCATCTAAAGGTACTGCAATCCTAACAACAAACTTTGGGTAATAAACTATGGGAATAAATCAAACTCCATGTCCTAGAAGTTGGCGGAAAACTATGAGCAAGAGATTAGCCTGTGATGTAAAAATGAATGCACGCACCTATAAAACTGAAAAGCTTTGAGGTTTAAGTGATTCATTCCTCAATGATACTGGTTTTGCTCCTAAGAATGAATAAGTATCTGGTCTTGGTAATAAAGATAATGTCAGGTTTTTATTGCAGTGCTGGAGAAAAAGTGAGACCCCTGTTATAATGTATCATAATACATTAGGATTTATTACAGAAACTCAGGAGATAGTTAGCTTGGCCATTCATTCTAGTTTGTTGGGACATTTGCAATTTATGTTCATGGCCCTGTTTAATTATTAATCACCACCTCTCTCAGCTATGTTCTAGTTTAAAGGATAAATTGTACAGTCACCGTAGTGACCAAAGCCCAAACAGTGGAAATGTTGATTGAAAGTTCTGACCTCAAACCCTGGGATCTGCAAAACCCCGATCCACTGTGAACCGGTCACACTCACCAATGCTGCGTAGGTGAGATGTCTGCTTCCTGCCAGGCCCGAACAGGCCCAGCAGAACAGCGGAGTTAGTGAAAGAGGAAGCATCCTCCCTTCTCAGATGTCAGGCATGGCGATGGGGAGCCTACAAACAGGTGCGAGGAAGCCCTAGCCGCACAGGCCAGGACCTTGCAGGAAGAGGTAGGGTTCCCACATGCCCTGTTAGGCACTGCTTTCCCTGCTGCCTTTGCAAACCTCGGTTTCCAAGAAAAGTCCAGCTTGGCCACAAAGTGTCATCAGAATGGAGTTGAGAAAGGACTCCCGGCCAGATTGTTCATACTCAATACATATTCTTGTAGACCCATTAAAATCAGGAATTCAGACTCCCATTTTTCTCCCTTTTCAACTTCCAGATATTGGAGGAAAATCGAGATATGCCATTAGATATGCCAAGTGTCCCCATTTGTCCATGTTCTGTTCGTGTTTTAGTGGCAGCTACATATTTCAAAATTTTGAGAGGGTTGGGAATACAGTTTTAAATCTAAACAGAGTCCTCTACCTTGGCCCCCATCAACCGTTATCTACCTCTGTGTAAGCCACGGCCAATGCATCCTGCTTATCCGAGATCTCTCCACAGGAAGAGGAGATTTTATCACAGGAAAACGCCAGTGATGCTGCAGACATTGCTGATGAGCTCATACAGGGTCAGGGGATGCTGTCAGCCTCCCCGTCCATACTCAACCTCTCTCTGGCTCTGTGAGGAATATATGTCAAGAGCATGCCAAGGACAACCAGTTCTCAGGGAAATGCTGCAATTTCTTTTTATTCTTCCTTCAAAAAAGCTGAGGTCTCAACAAATCGGCTCTCTTAAAAGAACACACACCGGTCTGTAAGGTGACCTTGACCCTTCTTTCTGAGACTACCTGAAAACAGTGTAGAAAATGCATATAAAGGAACAATACTCCATCTTTAAGGAAAACTTACAACCCCAAAAAGGAGGTGAATTATCCAGCAGGCTAGCATGAAGAAAGGTCCTGGGACGCAGCAGATGTCTGCCATTGCCAATCTGACATTGGAGAGGGGAAAACCCTTGCTTAATGCAGATATGAGGAGCAAGCAGATGCCATGATATGTCTGGGCTGCACAAGCAACAGCATAGACAGGCCCAGTCATCTGTGCAGGCTTGGAGCAGTGCCAGGGCCCCCACAATCCATGCTGGGAGCAGGGAAGGCCAGACCCCTCTACCCTCAGAGCCCTGAACACTGGGCTGGCCTTTCCCTCAGCTGTCTTGTGACTGGATTTCCAGGAAGAACTGCCCACCTCTAAGGAGGAATTGGACACCCTAGGAAAAGGAAGGCAAATGAAGAACCCATCCTGCAAAAATGTCTGTCTGTAGAAATGAAAAAGAGAGGCAGCAAAACTCAAATAAAACCATGAAAACCAAGGAAGAAAATAGCACCGAACACAGGGCTGTGAGGGTCCCGGCCGAGGGAGATGAAAAGTTTCACAGTACAACAAAGACCACAGCAAAGACAACACAACATATGTACAAGAGGTGTCACTTAAGGGATCTGAGTGAAGATGGAAGAAACACCCACAATTATCTTGTAAAAACTTTCCTAACAGTGAGAGGGCCAGATCCATGGATTACAAGGGCACCCTGTTTCCCCAGGAGAATGAATTCAACTCCTCAATTGTAAGATACAAACTACGGAAGTTACCGGACAGCAAAGAGACCAAATCATTTCACTTAAAAGGACAGAAAAAAAGTGCCAGTTTCTGATTTGTCCAGGGCAGATGGAGGAAGCCCATGTATAAGAGTTCTGGGAAAACAATGTGTGACCCCTTAATTTTATACACACGCTGTGGCTGAGAAGCAAAAGTAACAGCCAAGTGTCTTTGAACATGCAAGAGTGAGGGAGTGTACCTCTGCGGGGCTCTCATGAAAGGAGGATGTGGAGAATGGGAACCTCTTGCACTTTTGGTGTGAATAGAAGTTGGTGAAGCTACTGTGGAAAAGAGTATAGATGTTCCTCACGACATTAAAATAGAAATATCATAGGATTCAGTAATTATCCTACTGGGTACTGACCCAAAGAAAACAAAGCCACTAATTTGCAAAGATATATGCACCCCTATGTTGACTGCAGCAGTATTTACAAAGCCAAGATGTGGAAGCAGCCCAGTGTCCATCGATGGATGGACGGATAAAGAAGGAGTGGTGTGTATATACAATGGAATATTACTCAGCCATAGAAAAGAATGAGATCCTAGAGAGTATTATATGAAGTGAAATAAGACAGGGAAAAACAAACACCATATAATTTCACTTGTGGAGTCTAAACGTGTTATCCCAAAAACCAAATGAATGAACAAATAAACAAAAGCAGAAACCAACCCATAAATACAGAGAATAAAATTGGTGGTTGCCAGTGGGAGGAGAAGTAGGAGAATGAGCAAAAAGGGGTGAAGGGAA